AAACACAATGAGCGTGGTGCTGCAAGGACAAGCAATGCTGACCAGAGGTTGCCAGCAGTCTGGATGCCCAGTGGCACAGTAGATATTTCTTAGTAATGCTCCAGGCAGTCTTGGAACACATCACTGGGCAGCGTTTGTGGAGGTTCTCAGGATAACCTTGTAAGGAGCCCTAGCCATGGTTGAATAAGCAACTCCTGCCAACTGGAGAGATAGTGCCAATTTAGCAATCCCTTATTGCCAGATGTGTGTCATAGGGCTGAAGGGCAGAGCACTTAGAACAAAGCAGGCCCCCAGGAATGCCCTCAATGTCTTCTTTGTCTCTGTACCCCAAAAGGCCAAGTCATCCCTTACATAATCCACAACCTCTTGGATGACCCCAAGTACACGATGGCCCCATGGCTCATACTATCATCTTCATCTTTACTTTCCTCCAGTGCTGGTGGTCTGATGGGATTAGAAAAATCTGGGTCCTGGGTTCTGGAGAGTCCTCTGTTTATTTGATTTGGAACACGAGTTTTTATTTATGCTGTTGGAAGACTGAGGGACAAGGAAGGGGTGGGCACATGGCTTTCTGCAGCTCTTGTTTCTTGAGTTCTGTTGGCTGGTATTTAGTGACTGGGGATTTTAACTAGGTAGTTAGTGACTGGGGATTGTGATCAGGAAACGAAAACAAATGCTCCCCTTCTGTGCTGAAAATGTTTGCTGCCCTTCTGGTGCACAGACAAGACTGAAACCCAAAGGGAGTTGAAGCTGTGAGGTTACATTCACCCAGGAAAAGGCAGGCTTCTAGCAATGCATCGTTCCCTTCCTGGCCTCATGGAAGCCCCACAGGAAATGATGGAAACATTGCCTAGGATGCAGCAGACCCTTCCCCTGCAGATGGCGGCTTAGATTCTAGAGCTCTTAGGATGACTGGTGGCTTCAGACCCCTCCTCGTTCATTTGCTTTTTAGCCTAAGATAACCAGCCCCCAGGGAGAAGGCAGCGTACTGGGCTCCAAAAAATCAGACTGAGACTTGGGCATTACTTGCTGTGGCGAGACCGCAGTTCTTGGAGGTTGCCCGTGGCTTCAGGTTTGCCATGTTTATGACATGTGACACCCATCCACTTCATGAGCCTAACTAAGCACACTCCCTTCTTCTCGTTTCTCTCCTTGGTCAATCTCCTTGTTATTTTTCCTGGCCCTGCTGGGTATTTCTAGAACACGAGTCTAATCTAGTCCTTTACTTCCCTTCCATGACTGTCAGCTGTTGAAAGGTGAAATCAAAAGACAGCTTTGGGCTTTTAAGACCCTGTGCAATCAAGAGAGAGAGAGCATTTCCACCCTCCTCCCCTTCCAGGCCCTGGTAGTCATTGATACAATTTCTGCCTGTTTTCCAGAACATCATAGAAGTAGAATCGTTTGCTATATCGATTTTGAGTCTAGCTTCTTTTACTTAGAATAATAACTCACTGTGACTGCCCTGTGGTGTGGGTTTTGGAGTACAGACATGGTAGATTTAAGTTGAAATGTGGGGTCATTTTAGATCCAGGGTCCTAGCTGCTTCCTCAGATCTGTTGAGTCCCACATCATCCTCCCTGGTGGCACCTGGTGAAAGTGTCTTCTCTGGCTTTGACAAGCCATCTCAGGGCTCTGGATGGTCACAGTAGAGTAGGGAAACTAGCTGGGTGGGTGAAGTGACCATTAAATCCTTCCCTGGGGGAGGGGGTGGTAGTGGTGACAAAGGTCAGGCCTCTGCTGGCTAAAACAACAGAAGTGGTTCTAAAGAAAATCTGAGAGAAGGTAGGTGTGTGTGTGTGTGTGTGTGTGTGTGTGTGTGTGTGTGTGTGTGTGTGTGTCTGCTTTCCCTCAGCAGCATGAAAAGCCCTTTAATGGTGGTGGAGGTATGTCGAGGAAGAGCAGACCAGCATGTTGCCAGGCCTCCCCTTCCCTTTGACCTCCCTTATCTCCACTCCGCCGTCTCCCCCAGGCCCACTCTGAAGCTGTGGGCCAGGGCCCTCCTTTGCACCTGTGTAAATGCAGTGGTCGTGGGGTCAGGGAACGGTGAATGCGAGGTGACTGAAGTGGGGATGCGGGTTTCCATGTGGATGATGGATCTGATAGTGGGCGGGTAGGTGAGTGATGCTTTAATGGAAACTGCTCTGTGTCTCCGTGATGCAGCTGGCCCGGGAGGAAAAGGCCAAGGTCTGCTGTCACAGATGGTAAAGCAAGTGGCAACTGGCAGTTGGTCCTTTGGTTGCAGTGGAAGAGACTGCAGCTGAATCCCACTTGGAGAATTTTGTATACTGTGTTTTGGTCATATTCACCCCCTTGCTCAACTTTCCCCAGATCTATTCCATACCCCCTTTTCTACCTACCCAACTTTGTGTTTTCATTTTTTTTTTTAAGTCCATCAGTCCAATGTGTGCTGCATATACACCCTTGGATGTGTGGTTCTCACTGGAGCATGACCCACCTACCAGGGATTACACTCTTTTGTTTGTTTGTTTTCTTCTTATTTTTTTTTTTATTTTATTAGTTCAAATTAGGAACAAGCTTGCTTCAGATGTCAATCCCTTCTCCCTCTACCTCCCCTCCCCCCCAACATCCCACCTGCCCCTAGCCATCCCCCCTCCACTTCCCAGGCAGGGTAAGGCCCTCAAAAGGGGCTCCCCAAAGCAGGGACTGCACTCTTAAAACAAAAACCAAAATAAAACTCAATTGACTCTCCTCTTCCAGTAGCTATTAATTGCCAGTGACTCCTCAACTAGAGGGGTAACTATGCCCACCCCATTTCTTCATGCTGGGGTTTGGTCTAGCTTGAGTGTGCACAAATCTTGTACATGCTATCACAGCTGTTGGGAGCTCATATGTGCTACTGCCCTGCTGTGTCCAGAAAAAGGTTCCTTGTAGTCATCCACTATTTCTAGCTTTTCTTCCCATCCCCTCTTCTGCAATGATTTTGGAGCCTTGGGAGGAGGGAGTGTGATTTAGATGCTCCATTTAGGGTTGAACCTTCTCTGCAGGTTCACTAGTCACGAGTCTTCATGTTAATCACCATCTGCTGCAAATAGAAACTTCTCTAATGATGGTTGATAAATGCACTAATCTATGGGTATAGCTCCTACGTCATTAGGAGTTAGCTTAACACTATGTCCATTTAGCAGAATAATAGTAGTAGGTTCTCTTCTAGGGCCTATGACGTGTCTATATTCAGGTTCTTGGCCTGATAACGCTGCCAGGCATGGCTTTCAGCTTGGGTAGCAGGGCTTAAATACAGTTAGAAATACAGTTAGTTTGGTCACTCCCTTAATGCTCATGCCACTATTGCACCAGCGGGTATATCTTACCATGCCAGTTGTTATTGTAGTTTTTCAGGGTTCCTAGCTGGATAAGACTGATGATTGGTTTTGTCCTCTGGTAGCATGTATAGTACATTTCCATGCTATCAAAGCTAGCCAGTAGTGATAAAGCTTCCAGGTAAGTACCAATTTGATTTCTCCATGTTCTGTGACTCAATTATGTAATGTCTTCAGCACTAGGATCTTGCTGTCAAGTTCTGGAAGAAGGGCAATAGCAATAGCCTATAATATTTGGGGGTCTATGGGACCTTACTTGCCAATAGCTCTAAAAGAGGTAACTCATTGGGCTTTTATTTGTTAGCCCGTGATGTCTAGTAGGGGCATTGTTGCTCATTTATAGGGTGACTTCATTTTAGTGCTCTCTCTCTCTCTCTCTCTCTCTCTCTCCATATATATATATATATATATATATATATATATATATGTGTGTGTGTGTGTGTGTGTGTGTGTGTGTGTATAGATATATATATATGTGTGTGTGTATGGATATGTGTATATGTATATCTATGCTTCCATAGTAGTAGGCTTCTCTAACTTAGTGTCCCCCTGCCTTTTTAAATTTTATGCGCACATTTGTCTGTGCAAGAGTGTTGGATACCCTGGGGTTACAGATAGTTGTTAGCTGCCATATGAGTCCTGGGAATTGAACCCAGGTCTTCTGGAAGAGCAGCTAGTGCTCTTAACCACTGAGCCATCTCTCTGGTGTTTCCCTTTTTGCCCCTGGCACTCCAAGATTTTTTTCCACCATTTTTCCTTGTGGTAGCAAATTTACTACCAAGAAATGCTAAAATCTTGAGGTGAACTTTGAGGAAAACACTCCTCTTTTAGGGAAGTTCTTTTCTTTTCCCTTCTAGAACCTTGCCCTCTTCTCTCTGTGAGTCAAGAGCTCTTGCCCCTTGACCTGCCTCTGATACCTCTATGTTGAGGGTGGCAGTGGCGTGAGGTGAAAGACTCTGGGCCCCTAACATCAGACCTAGAGGACTATATTACTGACTGGCTTAGTTCTCTTGCACTCGGTCTCCTCTGTCATTCATCCCTCAGCAAATGTTTATGTAAGAACTGTGTGGGGCAAGGTTCCTGCTGCACACTGGGCATCCAGTGGTGTGATACCCAGATCTTAGGTTCTGCTTGTGGGGAGCTTTCAACCTAGTGTACAAAAAAGTGCAATTAAACCTATCATTTAATCATAGGCCAGAAGAGTTCATGAGATGCCCAAGGCAGCAGCATTTGCACTGGGAGGAGAGGAAGATTTGGGAGTCTGTGAGGTGGAGGCTTCAGGGAGCTTACTCAGCATGTGCAGGGTCTTGAGGCAGGAAGGAGCAATCCAGCTGTGCTATAATTGTGACGGGCAGGGTTTCTCACCTTCCTTTCGTCCCAAGAAGGTAATCTGTGCATTTGCAGATGCAGATAATTCACTGGTATTGACAAAACTGCATCTGAAGAAAAATGAATTCAGTGCATCAGAAAATGGACTTAAAAACGAATCTTTTTATCATCTGGCTGGTGTTCTCAATCAAATGCATGTGTCCAGGAGCTGTTAGAGAAGCCAGTGTGCTAATGATGTTGGCTGCACGATTGTCAGTTTTCTATCTTGACATATACTCATCTCAGGCTCAGCAACCAGAGGTATCTCAGGTCACGGTCCAACTTGAGGGCGAGATGTCGCACGCCCAGGATGGTGCCACAACTCCCCCAGGTCTCTATGAGGAAAGTGAGGCCATGCAACTGGAGCCTGAATTTCATGATCATCTAGTGACTACTGCTTTTTGGGACAGGCACACTATCTCAGTAGTACACACCTTATTTTCAGTGACTTGGGAGTTTTCCGTTTCCTTACATTTGTGGGGGAAAATACTGCTTTGGTATGAACTTCCTTACCTGGTAGATGTTTTGTAAAAGAAAGGAAAGAACCGTCTGCACATATGAAAGCTTTAAACTTTAGGTTAGACAAAGAAGCATCTCTTTTTACAGGAGCTTCCTTCCTCTTCATCCTTTCCTTGTCCTCCTCCTTGTTATCGTCCTCCTCATCCTCTCCTTGTCCTCCTCTTCATTGCCATCCTCCTCATCTTCTCCTTGTTCTCTTCCTCATTGTCATCCTTCTCATCCTCTCTGTGTCCTCCTCCTCCTTGTCCTCCTCTCCTTCCTCTTCCTTCTTTCTTCTTTCTTCTTTCTCTTCTTCTAGAAAGCGTTTATTTGAGACTTTCAGTTCCGGATGAGTAGAGTGACCATGTGGTGGGGAGCATGGTAGCAGGCAGGCAGCCATGGCACTGGAACAGTAGCCCAGCGCTTACGTCTGATCCACAATCACAATCTCTCTCTCTCTCTCTCTCTCTCTCTCTCTCTCTCTCTCTCTGGCATGGTGCAAGTCTTTTGAAATCTCAAAGCCTTCTCTCAGTGACACACCTCCTCCAGCAAGGCCACACATGAAAGGATCCTCTTATCTGTGACATCTTAGGTTAAGGCTTGATGTTTATCTGTTTGTTCTTCAGACATGTATTGAGCAACTGTTTTGGTTTAGACAGTGTGTTATGCTTTACCTATATAAAGAGAAATAAGGCTCAGTCTTTTATAGATACATAAGCTGATAAATGATAATGCAATCTGTTGAGGGTTTTTGTATGCTAATGCTTAAAATATGAAAGCATTTACTATTTAAAATTTTATTTTGTTAAAATGTGTTTATTCATATATGTGGGAGGAGACATGCTTACAGAGGTCAGAGAATAACCTGTGTAGTTGTTCTCGCCTTCCGTCATCTGGGTTCCTGAGATTGATACAGGTCATTGGTCTTGGAAGCAAGTGCCTGCTTAGCTCTCTTACCATTATTTGTTTGTTTGTTTGTTTCTCAAGACAGGGTTTCTCTGTAGCTTTGGAGCCTGTCTTTGAACTCACCCTGTAGACCAGGCAGGCTTCAAACTCATAGAGATCTGCCTGCTACCCGAGAGCTGGGATTAAAGGTGTGCACCACCAATGCCCAGCAGCTCTCTTACCATTCTGTGTTTGAGGCTTACATGATAACTTCCGTGGCAGTGTGGAACTGCAACTTAATGGGAAGGGAAGGCTGGTGTCAGAGAGTCAGCCAGGTGACAGGTAAAGGACCGAGTGAGTCATGATGGATAAGAGAATCCTAGCCAGTCCACAACTATTCCTGACATCCCAGATAAGGTCAGCATGTAGAATCACGGTGGACATTCCAGCATTGGCCAAGCGCAGTCAAGCTCACTACCTCTGCTGCTACTATGTGGAGCAGAAGAACCTCCCAGCTGAGCCCTGCCAGCCTGCAGAGTTATGAGAAACAAATTGTTCAAAGCTATTAAACTCAGCGGTGGTTTGCTTTCTAACAATAGAAAAAAAGGAAATGAAAAGGAGCTGTGCTATATGTGAATTCATGGGGAAAAAAAAGCCTCAAATCAGGTTGGATTTAGTTTGTGATTTTTGAGTATGCTATTACAAAGAGAAATGTCACTCCTATTCCATAATGCAGGCTTCATTCTCCCAAACCCACTGACTACATTGTTTAGTATGACTTCTGCTACCTCTTTAACAGCTGAGAAAAATAGAAAAACATCTCTATCTGTTATCAGATAAACAGCTGTTTAAAAACTTAGTTGGGGTACGAGGCTGGAGAGCTCAGTGGTTAGGAGTGCTTGTGGCTTTTCCACAGACCCAAGTTTGGTTCCTAGAACCCATACCGGGCATCTCACAACTGCCTGTAACTCCAGTGTCAGATGAACTGGTACCCTCTTCTGATGCACACACACCACAATGATGATAAAATAACAAAATAGCAGGTGGAAGCTAAGGCTAGAGAACTGTTTGTATTAGAAAGAATTGGACATCTCCTCCCAGATTGAGCCTTAGCTGTCTCTATTGTTTACTACATTGTCATGAAAACTTGGCAGCCGGTCAAATCTGACACAGCTTGTGGTGTTGGGGTGGTCTCTTTGTGCAGAAGCTGCATCAGGGTTTTTATTTATTTATTTATTTATTTATTTTTTAACTCTGCTCTGCTGGAGACCGAAAGGCAGGGATCAGTCTGTGCATTTTGGATGGAAGGGATTATTGATTCCGCCTTGATTTTTGTCTGCCCTCGTTCCTCCCCATGACAGAGGCAGTCCCTGGTGAGTAGCCTTTCTAATAGGGAGGGTGACTTGTTTATATGTATGTCAAGTGTCTGCCCCACTTTGCAAATGTGAGCACAACACAAAATGTTTGGAATTCTCCAGTCCCCAGGGAGAAGGTGTGGGAGAGACAATTCCAGCAGCACAATTGCCCTGGAGCCTTTGTTTGGTTTTTATGTTTTGCAATCATATTTAACATCATTATTATTTTGCTTTTCTTGTCTCTTGGTTAGGAAGGAGGGTTTTTTATTTTTTAAATAAAAATGTAGTTTTCATCCTTAAGGATATGACTTAAGTGTTTGGATAATTGGGGGAGAATAATTGGCCCTCCTGACATCACCAAAAATTCCTGCCAATCATGATTGCTTTAATTTTTCTGAGTTTTATCTGTGTGCTGTGAGCACTGACCATAAACATGGCTCCATTCAATGATTCCAGCCTGTACCTACTATGACTTGCAAGATGGGAGAAAAAATTACCTTCAGGACTTCATTTGGACTATGACAAAGTTGAGTTACTGTCCATTATCAGAATGCAGAAATTACCCTCAAGACCTCTCTTTGCTTTAGTTCAATGAGTCTTAGCCTGGCTCTAGGAAAAGCTCACTTAAGAGTGGATATGGCCATACACACATAGGAGATGAAAGCAGGCAGAATGCAAGGTCAAGGCCAGACTGAGTAACATAGTGAGACCCTGTTTCAGAAAGCAGAAACGAAAACTCAGTTAAGGACCATCCTCCTCCTCCTGACTTATTAACTTCATGGCTGGGCTATTGCATATGGTAGCTACGATTCACACATAGTCATCTGAAATTAAACACAACTACATATTTGGTCCCTTAGTTGCATTTGCTATATAATCACGTGTGTTCTGTGGCCAGTGTATTAGAGAGAGCATTCCATTGTCAGGAAAATTCGTTGGAACTGTGTGGCTCTGTAGTATTGCAAGCTTCTAAGATCATATCCCCTCTTGGTTTCCCGGCTCACATGTTAGTGTGGTAACTGCTTGCCTGGTGTCTTATTCTAGAGTGGAAGTTCACTGTGAGCAGAGTATATGTTGAATGCGTTTCTTCTTTCACTAGTGCCCCCTTTTATCCTGGCTTCCTGGCTACAGAATAAATGGGCAGATGGGAGGACCACCTCATTCTGAGTATTCAAGGATGAAGGGTGATCTCTTTTGCGAGGTCAGAGGGACCTTGCTAAAGCCCCATTTTATAGAGCTCAGCCTGTGTTTTGAAAGCAGTAACAAATACACGCAGTTCCCCAAACACACAACAACAAGGGTCTACAGTTGATTGAAGATGGTCTTTAGCCACCACCCTATGCTGTCCCCGAAGTTTTTAGCACCCTAGGGGCCAGTAAATTTGAGACAGGCATCTTGTGGGAGCCCTACCGACACTGAGACCACCTCCATGGGCCGGGAAGGTGTGGCTCTGAGACTCTGTAACCTGTCTGTCTGCGGACAGAGTGCTCCCCTTGTTGTCAGGCTAGTCTCTGGCACAGAGTCTCTTTTGGCTCAGAACAAGCCATTTCCAAACTGAATTTATGACCTGTAGTTCAATGCCACGGTGACGCCTGTAGCTGTCCTCTGTGAGCAGCAGAGCAGACAAGGCAACCTCTGCTGGTTTAAAAAGAAACTTTGTCTCTCCCTTGGTGTGTTGTCTTAAAAAGAAAACCACACTGTTTAAATTTCAAAGATGAGCAAAAACTTACAGATGATTTAGGCACTGTTAGCTAATTTGATCTTCTCAATAACACAAGGCAGGGCAATGTTAGTATCTTCATTATTGCAGACTAGAAAACATTGTCTCAGGGCCAGAAAACACAGGCAGCTTCCCCAAGACTCAACAGTGCCTGTGTGGGTGCTGGAATCTATGCTCATGGTCTGCCTTCATGCTCCCAACTGCCAGGCCACATTACTGCTCACACTACAGACCAACACAGTAAGCTGGAACACCCACCCTGCTGCGGAGATCTGGCTTCAAGTTGGGAGCTAAGAGCCTCAGACTCACTCACCCTACCCTCAAGAGCCTTCTGTTCTGAGGTGACATCAAGACAGGGAGCTCTGGGCCACCTCTGCCTGCTGTATTGCCATGGAGACATTGGAGGAAAAGACAACTAAGCATCTAAGCACAATGCTGGACTGCTTGACTATTGTGGAACAAATGTAGGGGTACTTCTCATGTGGACTTACCAGAACTGAGTTGTATAGTAACAGGCCTCCCAGACTGCCATCAGTAGGCTGTGAACCCTGACTTCCTCTAGCCATGTCTTTTCCTTCAACCTCTTAGCTACAAGTTGGGGATCCCATTGTCAATCAGGTCACATAAATAAATTCATGGTCTCAGACCATATAGGAAGCATGAATTGTGAGAGATTGTGATGATGACTGTCCTCACCTGTGGGAGTCGGAGAAGCCTGGGGGGGGGAAGGTAGGAGCCCGGGGGGGGGGGGAATGGAGCTGGCTAGATGATCAGAGAGGCTGTGTAAACAGTGGTAAGCAAAGGGCACAGAGATGCCATCACTGAGGCCAGGGAGGGGCCTGGGGTCACACACTGTCAACCTGGAACACTCTTGATCTGGACACCTTGAGAGTTTTAAGCAGGGATCCAGGACTGAGGCTGGTATACAGAGGTCAGGTTGATGCTCTCTCCATTCCCATTAAGGCACCCTCAGTGTGGCAATCATAGGCTTCTGAGAGACCAAACCACACTGTCCCTCCTCATTGCTACCTTCCTGCACTGAGAATCCTGCCTTAGTACAGGGTTTTACTATGCTAATGTTAAAACCCTTCTTTTTATTTAGAAAGAAGAGAGGAGATGATGGGGGAAGTCCTCCTGTGTATATGTTTGTCTTATTAGTTGATAAACAAAGCACTGTTGGCCAATAGGGGAGCAAGTTAGGTGGGACTAGAAGAGAAGGAGGATTCTGGGAAATGTAATAAGGAGTGGTCATGTGATCCCAGCAAGAGAGGACGCATGCCGCTGGCATCCTTGAAAAGATAAGTCTTTATAAACTATATAGATTAGTAGTTATGGTTGATAATTAAGACTGAGCTAGCATGTAAGAAATCCTAGTTATTGGCCAGCAGCATTGTAAATAACATAAGACTCTGTGTGTTGTTTGGGGGCCCTAGCATGGCAGCAGGTTTCGGGAGGCTCGTGGAAAGAGTTATCATTACACTCCATAGCTGGGGTGTGCTCTGTGGAATAATGGGCACCCTGGGGTTCTTCAAATGTATGTGGTGGGCAGTTGTTTCCAGCATTTTCTTTTTGTGGTTCTGCGAAAGTGTCATCAGGCTCTTATCTATTTGCTTCACACAGTGGGACTACAGTACATCCCAGATAGACCTGTACTCACACCTTCTACCATCTGCCAGCCTGGGGCAATTATACTGTCATCACCAACAGTGCCCATGGCCACAAGTGTGCTCATGACCTTGCCAGGCATCTTGTCTTCAAGTCCTACTGAGAGAGCTTACAGTAGCGGTTCTCAATCTATGGATCATGACCCCTTTGGGGGTTGTATATTAGATATCCTTCATATCAGATATTTACATTACAATTCATAACAGCAGCAAAATTGCAGGTATGAAGTAGCAACAAAATCATTTTATGGTTGGAGGTCACTGAAACATGAGGAACTGTATTAAAGGGCTGCAACATTAGGAAGGTTGAGGACCACCGGACTGCAGTGTCTGCCCAAGGCTTGGCTGTGGGTCCCACCCAGTCCTAGCCGGCTTCACTAGGGGCCACTCAGTAGAAAGAAGTTCACAGGTTGTACTTGAGCAATTACAGCTGTTAACAGTGGTTCCCTGACAAAGGGGGTCTCTGGTTTGATAAGTCTGGAAGATTTATTGTCAAGTATGCTTCTTAGTCTTGCTACTAATTGCTGTAGGGCACAGTCACAAAATGTGCCAGCTCTAAACAGTGGATTAGCCCCAGTTCTGTTGCAGGACTGGGCTCAGCTGGGTGGTCCTTCTCATTTTCATCGCTGATAGCTGCAGTCAGTTGACAGCTGGATCACACTCGTCACAAAGCTTTTTCACGCACGATTCCTGTGCCTGGCATATCTTTTCTTCCTGTGCTTTGCACACATGCTGACCATAGAGTGAATTCTGCAAGAAGCTGCAAGAACCTAGGTATGACTTAGTGGCGTCTCTAAGTACTACTTTTAGTTTTTAACTGGTCAGATAAATAACCGAGAGCAGTTCAGCTTTAGATTTGACTCTACAGCTCAATAGGAGAAGTGGTGAATACTTTGTAGTTAGTTACCTTTCAGTCCCCGTAGGACTTGGAGGGTAACCGTGCATAAAGGTTTACTGAAGGTGTCTGAGAATTATGATCCTGAAGAATTCTGTTTGACTCCGTGTTTCCCAAGCTGATCATTATCATTGACAGGTTTGAAATCAGGAAATAATTTCCTTATAGAAATTCACTAAGTTTATATGTATTCCCCTAGAGAGTAATGGGCAGGCAATAGATCTGGAGGGTTCAATGGTATTCTTTAATATATAAAGCTTTCCACACAGAAGTTGGAGACTGAGTGCTGGTTTTAAGAAGTCTAAATAGTGGTTGCAGTAGCTGTCCCTGCGGGTGGAAAGGATGACTATCTTGTAGGTTAAGGCTTTGATTTTATTTCCCATGGATTTAGGCTTGGCCTGAGATCCCCACTCTTCACAGCTGTGTGACATTGGTCCAGTCACACCTTTCCAGGCTGTGGTTTCCTTATCTACAAAGTCAGGGGTTCTATTTCACAGGGTAGTTGTGAAGACTGACAAGATCCATGTGTATCACTTGGCACAGCCTGTTTATGGTCAATAAATGGACTCCACTATCCTTAGGGTGTATACAGGAAGCCTTCCTTAGATAGACTTGGTATCTATTTGGTTCCTTCATCTCTAGGGTTTTATAACTAAGAACAAGCCAATACTGTAAGCCATGGGTTTCTCACATTTTTTTTTCTTGCAAAAATAACCTCTGTGTCTTTTCATCTTTTTTTTTTCTCCTAATGTAGTTTCTAATAAGTGACCGTGATCCTCAATGCAACCTCCACTGCTCCAGGACTCAAGCTAAACCCATCTGCGCCTCTGATGGCAGGTCCTATGAGTCCATGTGTGAGTTCCAGAGAGCCAAGTGTCGGGACCCAGCCCTGGGTGTGGTCCATCGAGGTAGATGCAAAGGTGAGTGACCCACACTCAGCCAGCAAAGGCTGCTGGGGCTGCAGCTCCTGAACCATCATATGCTCTTTGGAGCTTGAATGCTTTTGGCTTACTCTTCTGTTCCTGTATGCGTTCCATCAGTGTGAAGGAAGGAAGAGGGCAGTGCCTGAAGAGAACGCTTCCCTGCTTCAGACACTGCCACAGGGAGGAGCCAGGAGCTCTCTGGCCAGTGTCTTGTTTGTGGTTTTGTTTCAAAATGGAGACACAATACATTACTGCTGGCTCTGGAATAGGGATTCCAAATTGTTGATTCTCGGAAGTGTTTTGTTTGATCTGCTTTAAAACATGAAAAATATTTGAGATAACATTTAAAAATTGGGAGATTCGACCACCACAACAAATCTGGCTTTCTGTTCCTCTCTTCCAAAATCGTCAGTCTGGTACTACCAGGTTTGCTGGAGCAAAGTGACACAGCCAGAGGTGAGGAACCTCCTCCAGCCCCTAAAGCAGAGCTTGTTTTCTGGTTTGTTACAATCCCCAATCCTCCTTCTGGCTTCTAAGCACTGAGCGTGGTTTTTCTCACACAGTTGCTTTCCTGAGTCTGTAAATATATGAGCTTGTGACCCTGGATTGCCTAAAGCCGTCACAGGAAATGCAGGAGGCTAGCAAGCTGTCCCAGACATTTGGGTGTTTCAAGAAAGTGCTAGCATTGTATGTAGCCCTAGCTGGCCTGGCACTCGCTCACTATGTGGCCCAGGTTGACTACAGACAGTCCCTTAGCGCCTTCCTAGGACTGGCATTAAAGGTATTCACCATCACACTCTTTTTTTTTTTTTGCAGTTCCCAGAATTATTAGTTTTAGAAAAGCCTGGGAATAGTAATGGAAACCACCCATCACCCCATGAGCATTTGAGAGAAAAAAAAAAAAAAGAGAGAGAGCGCCTGGGCTTCTCCTCTAACTTTTCTAAGTATAGCATTGAGAGGAAGGTGAGCCCAAGCAGCCATCCGTGGGCACAGGGACTGCTCTCACTGTCCATCAGCCTGGTGGCATGCCGCCCCTCCCTCGGGGTGGAGGGTGTTGCTCATAGTTCCTGCCATGGGGCAGCCATTTTGGGCGCTGGCTTCTGTGTGGAATCCAAGGGAAACATACGATTTACTCCTCTCCCGGTTTAGATGCTGGCCAGAGCAAGTGTCGCCTGGAGAGGGCTCAGGCCTTGGAACAGGCCAAGAAGCCTCAGGAGGCTGTGTTTGTCCCGGAGTGTGGCGAGGACGGTTCCTTTACACAGGTGAGGCCTCAGTGGGTTTCTTGGGTCGCTTGCTGGACTGAGGAGAAGGGTGATGTCCAGAGAGCACTAGGGTCGTTGGGCACCTTCACTTTCTGGGAAAGGGCTCCCCTCTGCACCGCCTTTCCCCATTCTGGGCCCTCCATGCCACTCCCTGCCAACTGGCAGTGGGCCGTGACAAGACGCATAGGAGTCTGAGCCAGGAAACTGGCATGGCTGGGTCCTCGTCCTCCCTGCTGGCTGTCTTTTCTGAGGGCCAGACCTGCGTTTTTTTTTTTTTTTCTCTTCTGTCCAATGTGGGCTGATTATTTTCTCTTTTCCCTGCCAGTTTCCACAGGCAACCCCAGTATTCCCTTCACTATTTGTCGATAGCCACACGGCCTCCTTGAACGAAGCAGCGCCCTCTTAGAGTGCAAAGTGTACCACGGCTCCCGAGCACAAAGTGTGTGTGTGGCCCTGTGCATGAACTGAGATGTTTAAATACTCTTTCAGTAGTCCGGCTCTCCTGCTCGGTTTTCTGGCTAGTGCTTTTGTACAAAAGCAGGGGAGGATATGTTACATGCTGGCAGTGGTGGGACAGTAAGGGGCCTCTTCAGAAAGCTCCTAGGGCCCAGGAGATGAGAGGCTTCCGTGAGTCCGGACGTGTGGCAGGTGTATGAAGATGTCATTGTGATAAAGAGTAGGGAGAGTCACAGGACATGGTAAGCTTAGCCAGGTTGGGGAGTATCCCCGTGCGTGAGAACGCTCCTATCCAGTAGAACAGCATTTAGAGGGAATATACACTTTCAGAGATGGAGGTGACAACCTCAGGGTTTTAAAAGCTGCTCTGTAATTCTGGATGAGGGGATGCCGGGTGTCTATTGGTCAAAGGGACTTCAGATTTTATTTCCCGGTGAGGTCTAGGACATTCCTGATTTCAGACCAGTGCCCTCTTGGGTAGTAACACAGAGGGATGGTTGGTGGGGGATTGGACTTGGGTGTTGTAAATGTTTCTCAGTCGACTCAAACTTGCAACCAGGCTAGAGAGCAGAGGGATGAAGTGACCTTGGCCATCGGCCCAGGGGGGAGGTGCTTGTTTGGATTTCCAGTTTAAAGCTTTGCACAGTCATGGGGGGTATTGTCATTATCCCTATTTACGGAAGATGCATGCACTGTCATGCCTTGGAGTGGAGAGCTGGGTTCAAGCCCAGAGCACTCCAAAGATCCCTATGTTCTGCTGTTCTCTGAACTGGTGTGCACTAGGAAGATGCAGGCTAGGGCTGTGCTTCGTGCACTCTGCCTGGTTGGGGCTGACTGTCTGGGCTTGAGGCCAACCCCACACAGGCAAGTCACCTCGATTCCCAGAGTGCTTATCTGAAAAACAAAACAAAACAAACAACCAAAAACAAAAACCAGAGACAATTATCTTTATGATTGTCTTGTTATACATATGTGATACATTATTATGATGTCATAAGCATTACATATCACTCTTATGTTATGAATGACATATTACTATTATTAGTGATTATTATTTCATTCACTTCCCTTATAAGGCTGTGATGAGGATTAGACAAGCTAACACCTGTGAAACTCTTGGGGTGTATGGGCGCCATGTAAGCGATTACCAGCATCTTCATTGCAATTCCCATCTCCACTGTGGGTCTCCAACTTAGACCTACCTAAGGTCTGATGGTGGCACTACTTAAGAGTGGAGGGAAGGCACCCAAAGCCTTTGGGTGAAACTTGCCAAGCTTATAGATTCATGAGTCCTCCCTCCTATCAATTTTTAAGTTTACTACTTATTCTAGTAAAAATAATGTGATGTCCTTTTCTGTATTTGAAAGTGCAACTGAGCAGCCATACCCTCAGAGGGGAAATCAGACCTTCCTGAAGTTCATTTTGGGCTGAGACCTAAGGGAGAAAGGTGACAGGGAGGGGCAGAGCCTGAGGCAGCTGTTTTCTTCCTTCTGCAGGCTTGTGTAGTCCTGAATGTGTTGCTTCTGAGAGTGGTTGACCTCTGCCCTCCTGATTCTGAAGTGTTTGCTGTCTCTTGACAGACAGCCGCTGGCCAGCTTTTGTTCTGGTGAGGCCAGGCCCAACCAGGTGGTGTTTGCTAAAGGAAAGGAACTTCCAGATTAGTCCAGGCTGACTTGCTAAATGAGAGTGCCCTGGAGTGCAGACTGTCAGGTATCCCTTGCTCCTGTGACAGGCTAAGCACTGCCAGGTGTCCACAGTTTAGGCTGGCTCGGCTTGGTGGGCAGCTAGACAGCCAGTCAGTAGATCATCCCGGCTCAAATGGTTAAATGGAAGCATCACACCCCTCCCCCCCATCAAAGATGTGCTGCAATAACTTCACAAAACTGCCACTCTGAGTGCGATTCAGTCACTCTGATGCGTGGCCAGAGTACTGTGAGATAGAATGCCTGCCTCCTTCCCCCATGGCCCATCATCACTCAGCCAGCTCTTTTTATCTCCCTAAGGCCCAAGCTCTAATATTCCTTAGAATATTGGCATGTGTGCGTCCTGGAGTTAGTAGCATTACTTAGTCCTGGGAATTGCTACAGATGTCGTTCTCCTGAAGAACAAGGAGAGAATGAAGGGGACTCTGTTGGGATTGGCTTTATCTGGCATGAGGCACAGCTGGAGGCCACATGACTGAATGAGCTGTAATGAGGCTCATGTGGGGACTTTGCTGGCTTCTTCCTTTTTTCCTTTGTCTCCCCCTGTCCTCTTTCCTCACCACACCCAACCTCAACTCACACAGGGATGGCTCGTCTTCATTTACAGCAGAGGTGTTGCTTGTACATCACTGAGGTCACAGTACTTAGGGCAGACTATTAAATCTGAGGTTTGCATTCAGACACAGGTATTTTGTGTGTGAGCAGGTATACATGCATGTATGGTTGTACATGTGCTTTTTGTGTTTGTGCATGTGCAAGCACATGTGTGTATGGTTGCACAAGTACATACGTGCATGTGTGTGTACAGGCCATTGGAAACCTCGGGTGTTGTTCTTTTTGGAAATCTCCACCTTGGGTTTTGAGGCAGAGTTTCTCATTGGCCTGAAACCCACCAATTAGCTTAGGCTGGCCTGTAAGCCCATGGATCTACCTGTCTCTCTGCCCCTACAGCCCTGGGGTCATAAGGTCCTATCACTGTGTCTAGTCTTTTTATGTGAGTTCTGCGGTCAAACTTATGACCTTGTAGTTGCAAGATGGAAGCACTTTATTGAGCCCTTTCAGACAAAGGTATATTTTTAGTCTTCTCACCCCCAGGGGTGATGTCAGTATTTGTTCAAAAATTCAAACCTATCTTGGAAGGGCTTTGTCTCTCCGGTTTCTTGAATGCATTGTTGAGATGCTGTGGTTCAGGTGTTTGGGTACCTGAAGTGAAGCCAGTTGATCCGGGCTTTGTCCTTCAAGGTGGTGGTGTCTGTTTCTTCTCTGGATACCAGGGACATAAGTCCTAATATATGTTCTACTAAGGTCTCTGCCAAGTGTTTGTCTACTGCCCAAGCTGTTTAGCTGAAATTTCAGCTGTGGTGACTAGGAGTTGAATGGCCACCATCAGGAAGGGCTGGCGGGAGTTTGTCAAGCATCATTCATCACTGAATGACAATGACGGTCACTGTTGAGTGTGCTGGTGCCAGCCAGAGTTTTATTCCCACTGATCTTCACTGTAACCTTTTCTACGTAGTTATTAATGGCTTTGTATAAAGAAAAGCTGAGTTTCAGAGGGGGTGAGTAGCACTTTGAGGTTGCTGAGCTAGAAGGGGTTTTTCCTCAAGCTGATTAACTTCGGGGCTCGTGATGTTTTTGTGCAGAAGTGGCCCTGGTGCATATGCATTTCATTTTCACCACCATTGTTATCCCAGAAGTTCCCTCTCTTGTTGCCCAATCAATCAAACACACATTAAAAAAACCCCTTTGATTATGGAAATTTTAAAAAAAGTACAAAAGAGTAGGCATAATAGTATAATGAGCTCCATGTACCCATCACCTCTTTCAACAATGATTGACACGTGGCCGATTCTGTTTCATCTTTGCCCCATTTTTGTCTCCCATCCCAAACTGAGTTTCTTCAAAGCAGTTCTCCAGACACAATATCTTTTTATCCCAGGCAGGCAGGCGTTTTGAGCTCTACTGTGTTTTGGACTATGTGCTCGTTGCTATGAGGGATTAAAAAATGTGACCCCTGCCTTATGCAGAAAAGATAGCAAGACACTCCACAAAGTAGCTGCTTAAAGATTGTGTATGTGTAGCTGGAAATGCATGTTTCAAAGCCCACTTAATGAGTCTAATGGATAGAACTCAGGATGCATTTTGTTAAGGAGAAAACAAACACAAATGTAAATTTTGATTATAAACACCTTAGGCTGAAAGCAAGTCATACATATTAACCTTAACGACAAAGAAGCTAATCTTCTTTGTATCTCTTACAGTTTGGAAGCGAATAAAAAGCTAGTAAAATGTGGTCAAGAGATGCCAACAAGGAGGGCATAAGTGACGCTGGGGACGTAGCATGGTTACAGGGCATTTGCTCCATGCACCAGGCCCTGGGGTTCAGTCCCTGGTACCATCAAAGAAAAAAAGGATGAAAATGGCCATTATATGAATATGAATCCGAATGATGTAATCTTCTCTACTTATTAAATTGCAAAATTAAAATTAATATTATGTATTAAATTATATAAATCTAGATGATCATGGTGTTGAGGAGGTGGCTCAGTGAGCAAAACACCTTAAAAGCGTGAGGACCTGAGCTTGCTTCCAAGAACCCATGTAAAAAGCTGCATGTGGCAGCGTGTTTGTGATCCCAGCCCTGGGGAGGTAAAGATAAAAGGATGGCTGGCCAGCCCCACCCACTCAGCAAGATTCTGGGCAACAAAAAACACTGTCTCAAAAAACAAGGCAGAAGACATCTGTCTTAATTAGGGTTTCTATTGCTATGAAGAAACACCATGACCAAAACAACTTGGGGAGGAAAGGGTTTATTAGACTTACACTTCCATAGCACTGTTC